GAATGCTGAGAATACCCTGGACAGCATACCGCACCAACGCATCCATCTTAAGAGAACTAAAAGTACGGGAAAATGAGAGATTATTACCAACAATACAACGACGTATGCTTAAATTCTTCGGTCATGTAATACGAAAGGACGGTATGGAAAAACTCATGATACAGGGGAAGGTTGATGGAAAAAGGGCAAGAGGAAGGTCACCAGTGAGATATATAGATCAAATAAAGGAGCTCACACAAATGTCGGTCTCACAAGTGATGCGTACTGTAGAGGACAGAGAAGCTTGGCGAAGGGTCACTACACAACATCCATGAACGAGTCACGACGTCCGAAAACGGACAACGACTGAAGAGAGAGATGCACTTTTTTCCGAATTTTTGGGCATGAAACGACTGCTTAAAAAGGTCATACCTGGTGATGAATCATGGGTATATGGTTATGAAGTCGAAACCAAAGCCCAGTGGAAGAACCCATGATCGCCAAGGCCAAAAAAAGCACGTCAAATTTGATAAAATGTCAGGAATTTGCCGACTGTTTCATTGGGTTTTCCTCGCGTAGTACATAAAGAGCTTTTATCACAAGGTCGTACTGCCAATAAAGATTATTACCTTGAAGTTATGCGCCGTTTGCAAGAAGCAATACGAAGAAAGCATTAGGAATTGCACCTGCTCGCTCAACGTTGCTTGCGGCTAAATTTTTGACCAAAAACAGAACCGTAATCCATGCCTCAGCCACCATATTCACCCGATATAGCCCCCTATGACGTTTTTCCCAAAAGTCAAGAAACCCATGAAAGGAAGGAGGCCGCAACTTTACTATTGTTTTCCTTTTTTAATGGAAAATAATCGGTTAAATATAATTACGCCAGAAAAATGCGTTCTTTACGCAAAGGATTTGGCGGACTTTTAAACGAGGCAATTTGTAAAAGTATAACGTTTTTCCTCGATTAATTCCGGGAAAAATACGGCCGCCAGTCGCGCAGCAAAATGAAAATATGTCCGGGGATAAGCAGCTGAATCTTAAAGAGTCGTAATTAAAAACTGCGGCCATTTTTACCCTTTTTATTTTAAATCCGCTTTTAGGTATTGTCGTTTCATGTTGTCGGCTTATCGTCGAGGAGGAGACAACTTAAGAATCGCGTAATTTTCATCTAAAATCTAAAATACCCCGTGGGACGATGAAGGTCTTAAAATTTTCCATCTTGCTTCTTCTAAATTACCGCCAAATTGCGTTTTTTCGTTTTGGCTTGACCCTTCTAATATTATTATACAATATTAATAATAATAATAATAATAATAATAATCCACATAGAAAAGCTTAAAAAATGAATTTAACGAACCTATAATGTTTATTATTTATTATTGGTATCAATTTTCCACATACAAGAACTAAAAAATGAACAAACCATTAACCAACCTAGTTCTGTCTAGAATAAAATCAACGCAATTTTTGATGTTCACTCACGGAGAGGAGTATTCAAAGTGTTTGTGTTGGAATGCTTTGTTTCGGTTATGTTAACTATAAGGAATAAAGGATAAGAGATAAGCAGATTGATGTGATTGACCTACTGGTCCATTAAAGAATAAAAGTTTCAAAAATTTAATGCACTTGGCGGAGAGAGGAGACAAAAAAGTTGCTGCTAATAGAAACGCAGAGACGCTCTATGAACAGTCGGAAAGGTATCAGAATAGAACAACACAAATAAAAAAAGCCAAGCAACCGCATGTATGTATTATTGGAAAGCCAAAACCATAAGTCACAGACCCATACTATGTTATATAATTGAAATTGCTATTATTGCTATTATTATTATTATTATTAAAATTTAAGAAAATTTTCCTAAAAATAATAGATGGAACCCAACAATAACGGTTTTAACATAATCTGAATTCTGAAGATGATGGCTAATAAGATCGAAACGGCAATCACAGACTCATCGTCAATTTGTCTTTGAAAGGACTAGCCAAAAATGTAATAAAATATAGCGTGTTCCATTTTAAAAGAATGTAACTTTGTTTTATCACCCTGTATATAAAAAAAGTGACGATTAGGAAAATAAAAAAAAGTAAAGGTCGTTTTAATAGAAACAACTTTTATATGTAATTTTTTTTATGACCCCCGTAGATTCCGAGATGAGTTATAGACCCCTCTTAAATGGGCCATCCTGTACATTGATGTAGGCTAGTACAAATGTACAGTTTGTAGTTTAATATAAGGATATGTAGGTTATAATACTATATTAATTCTTGGTATACTGCTAAAATTATTTCTACTCGAAATAGACATGTTTTTTATCCATCTATTTGCTTGTCCAAAAACAGACAGTAAAACGAATTAACAAAGTTTGTATCGCTATCGATGCCCAAAAATTGAATAGAAAACCCATTTTAACCACTCGCCTCGACTACAAACTTAATTTAACTTTTCCAAATTCGTCGATTCCTGGTAAGGCGATGAGATTTAATTTGAAACGCAACGAGTTTTGACAGTATCTTCAGGAAACACACTAACGATAATAATTCCCGTTTGGCCCTACTTATGGCGGGTTGGGTAAGCACTATTGTATTCAAATTATTCAAAATTTTTATGCTTATATTTTAAATATTTGAAATTTGAAAAAAAAATGTTCAGGCTAAGTGCTGGGCGTAATTGCATTTTTATTTTTAAAATTGAGTAAAGGAAAGGGAACAAGGAAACCAGCAAAGAAATAATTCGCTATATTTTCCTTATTTTTCTAAGATAAATGCAAAAACGTAATCAAAGCGGTCAAAAATGTAAATAGAGTTTAGGGTCCTAACACGGAAGAGTCAGTCGTGCACAATTTTGCATATTTTGCCTCTCCTCCCTCCATGTGCACTAAATAAATACTCCAATTTCTTCATTCATAAATAATGGATTTCTTTTCACTTTTTCCTTTTCAATAAGGAAAGTAAATGGCGTGAAGACTTGAAATGATTAAATTTAAGTTTCTTATCACAGATATATTATTATATTACAGATAACTAAAACGAACACCGTTTTTAAGTTGGGATAGAATAGTTTTTCACTGCCTTTTAAGGTCGATAACTTCAGAATGGCTGAACGCATTCTCTTTCTCTTCTTAGGCCATCAACGGTGTCCTGAGCGGATTGATTTTGATTAGGTGTATCGCCACTAGAAGGGATTTGGCGATATCCCTGCAACTAAAATTTATTTTCTCGGAAAAATGAAATGCAACAAATTAGAGGCATAAGAGTCTAACACTCTAGTGAAAACGGCATGTTTATAAGTGGTACAATCTGTTCCAAGATGGCCTATGACGAACCTCACTCTAGACACCTCAGCACGTCAATAAGTGATAATAATAATAAGTGATATAATATTTTTCGAAGTTTTGGGCATTAAAGGGGGGCGATTGCTTTGAAGGGGACAACATTAATTTTGAGCAATAAATAAATACTTTTTGGTAAAACTTAAAAGTCACCTCACTTTTTGAACACACCTCGTATGTATAAATTTACTGTTAAAACGTCAGTATTTATGTTTAAAATGTCAATAATAATTAATACCCATTCCCGTATAATTGAATGTTGCAAAACAATATATTACAATAATGGAAAACAATAACACAGAAAAAAAACACGTTTTAATGCAGAATACTCCATCGCATGGATTCTAACAGAAACAATTGCGTTTTTTTTTTTGCAAACAAATCTCCCAAATACCTTCAAATTTCAAAATTTCATTTGACATTTTAAATATAAAAAATTAATCAATTTATTTCATTTTGCTAATAGACAGAATGTTCTCATGGCAGTTACTGACGGCATTCCCAAGGATGCCACAGTAATTCGAGTTTTTATTTTTTTTTCTACTCCATTCTGTAAAAAACCTAATTATACACCGATCTAGCGTGGGGAAAGCTTTACTCTACCAGAGGTTCTTGCCCCACGTATCCGAACAGAAAAGTTTATTTTTATTTGCATTTATTTTTATTGTTATATTAATTTTCGCCATCTAGCGGAGATACAAGCAATCCAAATCAGTCTGCTTTGGGCGGCCTTGATAGCCCTAAAAAAGCCTTTTCTAAAAAATTTAAGTTTGACAAAATGCTTTCTGAAGTTATTGGAGTTTATTTCAGAAAATGTTAAAATACCCCATACCCCAGTGTCCATTTTAGATTCTGCAATAGAAGATTATTTTCCAAAAAACGGGATTAAAAATCAAAAAATACGATCACCACCTTTCTAGACGCTTTAAGGAAACTGCAATCATTTTCTTTTGGCCGCTTGAGTTTTAAGTTTTCTCATTTCAGGTATTTACGACCATTACTTTTCGATATAGTGCTGAGTGCCCTTCTAAATTAGATCATGATGCCTAATTTTAATTCTATTAAAATGAAATTCTTTCCTGATTAATAGGAAAACCCCATAAATGCACCTATACGAGAATACGAGAATTTTGCAGTTTTGCAATCAGTGCATCCCGTGAAAATATTCTGTCACTTTGTGGACCCTTTGTGGTTTCCTAATGAGATTCTAGTACTATACAAGTTTTTAAATTGAATTATTGAATTATTTAAGCGGTAAAACGTATTAGTTTTCTTTATAGTTTGAACACTCGCGTTCGCTATACTTGGCGCAGTCGGTGCGGACGGTTTCTCGCGTTTGCCGCGCTATTCGAATATTTGGTTCGACTGGCGAAAAATAAACCCGGGTGTTGAGAGAACACTTCGGCGTAAACAACCCGCCGACGCTATACGAAGCTCTTTCCCGCGTACATGATAAAAGCATGGGAAATAGGATAAAAATCAATGATGTGTTGATATGATATGCGAGAAACTGCCGAAGCGCGGAATAAAATTTATGAACCGAAACGCTTTTTGATGCTTTTATATACGCGCGCACGGCGAATTTGTGTTGTTTTACCCGATATATACGTGTCGACGTACATATATATTTCGACTATTTTCGTTTCTCTCGTGTCCGCTTTTGCGAATTGGAAAACGATTAAATTTGCAGGTGATATCGGAATACTGCAAAAGGAAGCAGCAAAATAGGCCGTTCTCTCACATAGTGATGGACTTGCATCAGGAAGCGTCGGCCGCCATGGAAGATTCCATGGATGCCCATTGGGGACCGCCCGCCATGCCAGAACTAGTACCACGTACCCGTAACAGGTCAGTGGCCGACTATCACGAAATGCAAAAATTCAATATGGCGCCGTACAAGAGTTACGATTTCTAAATTCTATAATAAGCTCATATAAGAATAATTTGTTTTCAGCAATTTTTTTAGAAGTAAATTGTTATTTTTTGCATTTAGGCAGTTTTTGTACTCAACAAAAGATCGTTTGTATTTTTTCCCTTTTTTTTTTCAAAATTTGCCACGCGGGTGGCACAAAGCTTCCTATTTATTTCTCTCTACAGATTTTATTGCGCAAAGCTTCGTATTTTTTTGCTTTTTTTTTAATTGACCACTCTGATAGATTTTCTTGCACAAAGTTATGTATCTATTTATCCTTACCAATTTTTTTTTTTTTTTTTTGAGAACTTGATGGATTTTCTTTCACAAGGTTTGATTTTTTCTTATGTAAAAAATTGTATTTGTTTCTCTTTACGAATTTTTTCATTGATTTGGTGGATTTTCTTGCACAAAATTTACTGCACAAAACAATATATTTTCTAGTTCTTTTTATAAATTTGCCACCCTAGTGGACTTTCGTGCACAATATTTGGAATTTATTTCCATTTACTGTTTTTGTTTGGAAAAGTTGTGACGTTGTTGGAATTTAGAATTTATTTCGATTTATTGTTTTTTTTTTTTAATTTGCTACGCTGTTGGAATTTACTACACAAAACAATATATTTTCTAGATTGGCACACTGATAGATTTTCATGCGCAATGCCTTGTATTTACTTCTCTTCGTAAAGCTTCGTATTTCTCTTAACTGACTTTTTATAAATTTTCCACCCTAGTGGACTTTCGTGCACAAAATTTAGAATTTATTTCCATTTACTGTTTTTGTTTGGAAAACTTGTCACGTTATTGGAATTGATTGCACAAAGTTTGATATGTCTTGAGAATATTTTGTTTTTATTTTGGCACATTTTTTAAAATTCGCCATACTTTTGAAATTTATTGCACAATGTTTCGTATTTCTTTACAATATATTTTATAATTTGGCACACTGATATATCTTCTTGTACCAAGCTTTGTATTTATTTCTCTTCAAGAATCTTCGTATTTTTTTCCACTGATTTTTTATTTGAAAATTTGTACTTGTACAAAGCTTTATTTTTATTTTTTTTTTATCAATTTAAAAAAAGTACCACCCTAGTGTTTTTTTCTGCACACAACTTTGTATTTATTTCCATTAAACTTCGTGTTTATTTTCACTTTTTTTTTTTTTCAAAAATCAACCCTGGTAGATTTTCTTGCACAAAGCTTTAATTCTTTTTATCGATTTAAATAAAATGCCACCCTAGTGAATTTTGCTGCACTTTGTATTTTTTTCTTTTCACTATTTATGTTTCGAAAATTAGGCACCCTGGCGGATTTCCTTAAACACAATTCAGAATTATTTCTAATTTTTCATATTTCTTTCCGCTGATTTTTTATTTTAAAATTTGCCTCTCTGATGGATGTTCTTGCAAAAACCTTTATTTTTATTTCTATTTAACGATGTATTTATTTCCAGTTTTTTGGAAAACTAACCGCCCTGGTGGATTTTCTTGCACGAAACTTTGAATTTATTTCCATTTACTGTTTTTTTTTAATTTCCATGCTGCTGGAATTCATTGCTCAAACATCAATTTTCTTGCACAAAGTGGTATTTATTTTCACCCCCGATTTTTATTAATAGTTTTATTTTTTCTTTCTGTTTAAACTTTAACCTTCGTATTTGTATTCACTGAGTTATTTTTTTTTGTGAGAATTTGTCAAAATTATGGATTTTCTTGCACAAATCTTTGTATTTAATTCTCTATTTCTTTCCATCAATTTTTAAAAAGAAAATTTTCCACGCTGATAATTTTTGTTGCACAAAATTTCGTATATCTTGTCGCGGATTTTTTTTTTAATTTGCCTACTTGGTGGATTTTCTTGCTCAGTGCTTCGTATTTATTTATCTTGACTTTTTTGTGATAACTTGCCAAACTAATGGATTTTCGTGCACAAATCATTGTATTTAATTCTCTATTTTTTCCACCAATTTTTAAAAAGAAAATTTTCCACGCCGATAATTTTTGTTGCATAAAATTTCGTATATCTTATCGCGGATTTTTTTTTTATTTGCCTACTTGGTGGATTTTCTTGCTCAGTGCTTCATATTTATTTATCTTGACTTTTTTGTGATAACTTGCCAAACTAATGGATTTTCGTGCATAAATCATTGTATTTAATTCTCTATTTTTTCCACCAATTTTTAAAAAGAAAATTTTCCACGCTGATAATTTTTGTTGCATAAAATTTCGTATATCTTGTCGCGGATTTTTTTTTTAATTTGCCTACTTGGTGGATTTTCTTGCTCAGTGCTTCGTATCTATTTATCTTGACTTTTTTGTGATAACTTGCCAAACTAATGGATTTTCGTGCACAAATCATTGTATTTAATTCTCTATTTCTTTCCACCAATTTTTAAAAAGAAAATTTTCCACGCTGATAATTTTTGTTGCACAAAATTTCGTATATCTTCTCGCGGATTTTTTTTTAATTTGCCTAGTTGGTGGATTTTCTTGCTCAGTGCTTCGTATTTATTTATCTTGACTTTTTTGTGATAACTTGCCAAACTAATGGATTTTCGTGCACAAATCATTGTATTTAATTCTCTATTTCTTTCCACCAATTTTTAAAAAGAAAATTTTCCACGCCGATAATTTTTGTTGCATTAAATTTCGTATATCTTGTCGCGGATTTTTTTTTTTAATTTGCCTACTTGGTGGATTTTCTTGCTCAGTGCTTCGTATTTATTTATCTTGACTTTTTTGTGATAACTTGCCAAACTAATGGATTTTCGTGCACAAATCATTGTATTTAATTCTCTATTTTTTCCACCAATTTTTAAAAAGAAAATTTTCCACGCCGATAATTTTTGTTGCATAAAATTTCGTATATCTTCTCGCGGATTTTTTTTTAATTTGCCTAGTTGGTGGATTTTCTTGCTCAGTGCTTCGTATTTATTTATCTTGACTTTTTTGTGATAACTTGCCAAACTAATGGATTTTCGTGCACAAATCATTGTATTTAATTCTCTATTTTTCCACCAATTTTTAAAAAGAAAATTTTCCACGCTGATAATTTTTGTTGCACAAAATTTCGTATATCTTCTCGCGGATTTTTTTTTAATTTGCCTAGTTGGTGGATTTTCTTGCTCAGTGCTTCGTACTTATTTATCTTGACACAAATCTATATATTTATTTCTCTTCGCAAAACTTCCTATTTATCTTAATCGATTTTTAAAAATTTGCTTCGTTGATAAATTTTCTTGCACAAAGCTTCGTAGGCCTTTTCGCGTTTTTTTTTCTTGCACAAAGTTTTGTACATGTTTAATTCCCTTTGCCGATTTTTTTTAAACGTGCCACGCTGGTGGTTTTTGCCATTAAATGGACAATCGCGTATGCCTGTCATTTAATGGGGAGGCCGACGTTTCGCATCCCGTTTGCGGTTCGCAGATAATACGGACAACGCCGTGTGTCCTCTATCGTTAAATATTGAATGACACGAATCCGGCTGCGAAATTGCAACGCACGTTACAAATTGCGAAATTAACCAGATAGTTTAAGGCAAGGAAGTACGTCTGTATTATTACGTAGGTTATTATAAATATAAAAAAAAAAACGTGGAAAATTTTAAATTGCCGTTCTCCCATTTTCAATTTGCCGCTCGCCATGCGTAAACGTGATGTTTCGTTTATAATGCGGTACCATCGCGAGGGAGATGAGAAAATGAGGGTCCGTGTGGCGTCTTCGGCGAATTTTAACTCCATAAGGTATATCGTAGTTCTAGAGATTAACGGTGTTTTTATTATTATTATCATTTTCATAAGGTTTATTCTAAGTGTGAATACGCTCGAATGGCAATTGTCAAATCATATTGTTAAAATGAGAAGGGTAAATACAGGCGTGTTTGACTGTGTTGAATTTACGGAACTTGGGGAACTTGCACGCTTCGAGTATAGTATAACGGTAAGAGAATGGAAAGTGTAAATTCAACGTGTAGAGAAGGGTGTCCCTCAAGGTTCAGTTTTAGACCCTGTACTCTTCGCATTATATGTAAATTGTACACTGAAAATTTTCCCTGATATGTTTTTTGTGATTTATATTTCAACGCAATCAAAACCCAAACTATAAGGTTTCATAACTATCAGAAACAATGGATGATTTGAACAAAATTAAGTACCCACTCTTTACTTAAAATTTTGGTTTGGTTAGTTTGTCTAGCCACGATGACGTCATTTACTATAACGGTTCTAAAATGGAATTTAATAATTATGTACACTAGTTAATTAAATAGATATGCGTACTTTTTAATTACCTATTTAGTTCCATAACTATCAATACTTTATTTATACTTAATATTTTGAAAATATTTCATTATTGAACATATACCGATGTCGATATTACAATTAAATTAAAGGGTATTCCAGACACCTGGAGCAATAACTTTGGAAGGTTTGAATATTCCTTCTTCCATGTGCGAATGTATATCAATCAATCAATATTCCCGGAATCATCAAATGGGAAATGACAGAAGCGATCCGCATATTCTTGAGAATATTCTCCTGTTACATCTGGAATATAAGAAGATCAAAATTTATTATTACTCTAAATATATATATATATATATATATATATATATATATATATATATATATATATATATATATATATATATATATATATATATATCTAGTATAATTAAATTAATTAAATTAAATTAAAAAAATTTTTTTAAACAATATCTAGAAGGGATTTTGATATACTTCTCATAAATGAGAGAAAATAGCTGGCCAGTCTATAAACTACTGTTCTAAAATCAATATATATTTGTGGAATTTAATAATTATATACACTATTTAATTAAATAGATATGCATACTTTTCAATTACACCTTTAGTTCCATAACTGCTACACAATTACTTTATTTCTACTTAATAATAATTATTAAACATCTACCGATG